TGTTAAATGGAAATAAGACTTGCGACAAGTCTATTTCCAATAGTAAAATGCATGAATTCATAAATAGAAGTATATGTGTGTATGAATTATATGTGTTGACATGTTATTGTATATATGCATTATATGGTTGATGTGAATATATGCTATGTTATGATGATATAAACCATATTAGATGATAATAAATTATATGAATATAAAGGATAAGATCTTTGAGATATATATAGAAATGAAATATAACTACGTGAATACATTATATGAGATAACTTAAGTAATAATATGAGAATATGGTAAAAGTGAGTTTATGAGAAATGATATGAACTAAGTAAGCAAAGGAAAAGGTTACATAAATAATAAGAAGGTGAGTTGGGCAAGTACATAGTAGTATGATCAATTAAGTGATAATATGAACATAAGATAGATGGGAAAGATCATATGCTTAAATAAAATTATGATACATTAGTTGTATGATAAAAGCTATGGAGTGATATGAGAAGATTATAGGAGTTATATGGAATTGAATTAAGTAAATAGATTAATTTGTATATAAAATAAATAATAGAAGTAATATATATATATATACATATATATATATATATGTATATGTATATATATATATATGTATATGTATATATATATATATAATATATATATATACATATATATATATATATATAATATACATATATATATATATATATATATATATATATATATATATATATATATATATATATATATATATATATTATATATATATATATATATATATATATATATACATATATATATATATATACATATATATACATATATACATATACATATATATATACATATATATATACATATATATATGTTATAAGTATAATATAGGTTATGTAATGTAAGTGCATACTAAGAAATAAAGAATAAGATAGATGATATGATATAAATTATATTATGAATTAGTGATGTAGGAATGCGATATAAATATGCAATAAATCTTATGTGTTATATGATAAATATGAACATATGAGAATAAGAGATAAGATAAGATAAGTGACTTGGTGATAGAAGTTATATGACCATGAATTATGTAAATATGAATAATTTAAGTGATATGTAACTATGAGTACTTGAGTATGTATCTATGTGATGTGATACATGAGGTTATATGAAATATTATATTATATGATTATATGAGTATATGAAAAAGAATATAGATTCATGTAAGTTATATAGAAATGAGTTGTGTAAACATGCCTGATATGTATGACATGTTTATAGGAACACATGAGAAGTGTTATATGCTATGAGATATATGAATACGAAATTATATGAGAATTTACATGAACTACGTGATTACATGTATATGTAAATGAAGCTATGAGTTTATATGAATATGTGATCTGTTTACATGAATATGGAAAAAAAAGGATATAAAAGATAATGCCCATGATATGTGTCATAAGAGCTAGGGGTATAGTTGGCATGCCAAGAGTCGAGGGTCTGCGTGGTCCTTAGGGACATATATGTATTCTTTGGAACATGTATGAGGTATTTTGAGACACATATTTGATCTTTGTCATATGTATATGATTCTTAAGGAATTTTCTACGTGATCCTTAGGGACATCTTATATGGCACTACGGTGCATTTCTACGCGGCACTTCGGTTCAATTCTATGTGGCACTCCGGTGCATTTATACGAGCTGTGGTGACAACATTAGTGTACAACCTCTATAGACTCACATATCTATAATTCTCACATGTGTACATGGGCCATTAAAAATATACTATACGAAAATTCTATGTGATGTTAAATGTTTGTTTGGTGATGTGATATTATATGATTTGTATATGTATTAAAGATAAGAAGAACATGAAAAAATAAAAAAAGGAGAAACGATGATAACACATAAAAAGGTTATGAATGTAAATGATGATATGTGTGTCTAGGTATAACTAGTACATCAAAGAATATATAATTTGAAATGATATGTATATGCATGTATTTATGTTTTGCAGGTATTATGAGTTTAATTAAATTGCTATAATTCTATGAAGTGTGCATAGTAGTAATTAGAGTTGAGATTTCATATTTAAATGTTAATGCCTCACTAAGTCATAGACTTAGCATGTGAATGTTTCATACTTAGGTATGAGAAGCGAGAATGGAAGTAGCAAGGAGCAATACAGGTCAGTATTTTCCTTACGAGGATCATATCAGAAACATATTGAAATTATGTATTTTGTTTATGGAGTTAGTTGGCATGTAGTTACAAGATTTTAAATTAAATATGCTCTGATCATTTTAAAGAAACAATTTGATTGTAATTATTAATGTAAAGTACTCATTTCCTTAAATAATGAAATTAAGATTTTAGTGGATTTGTAAAGAACAAAGTCTTTAAAAGTCAATGTGACACCTCGGAGTTGGATCCGGGTCGGATACAGGTTAGGGGTGTTACAGTGGAGACAGTGGAGGAAGAGGAGAAGGAAGAAGAGATGGTAATAGGGGGATGGCGGTGAGAGAAAACAGAGTAAATTTGACATTTTGATGTTTTAATTGGCGGATGTAAAAAAATTCCTTTTTGATATTTCGCAAAGACAATCAAGAGTCGAAGAGGCAGTTGAGAGGCTTAAGGGGGAAGTGGTTGGGAAATAGATGGAGTGGTGAGAGAAGTTGTGTAGTTGAGGGGCGAAGTTAAGATGGTGATGGGTGGAAAAATTGATGGATTGGTGAAGAAAGTTGTGGATTTGAGGGGTGAACTTACGGGGGTGAAGGGAGTGGTTGAGAAAAACTTGGATGAATGGTGAAATAAAAGAGATGAAGAGTTATGTAGAGGAGAAATACGATGAATTGAAAAAATATGAAGAAGAAAAGATGGAGGAAGAAGAAAAGATGGAGGAAGTGAGAAGGAAGGATGTGAATTTGATTTATACACCGGATAGTGTTATTGATGCAAATTTGGATTCAGAATGTCCTATACCGAAGAAGAATAAGAAGTAGAATGTAAGTTGAATAAAAGAAAACTTAATTTGATTTTTATTATGTTGTTGTGACAAAAATTTGTATGCAAAATTGTAGGTTGAAAAAGTGGAAATTCCGAGCAGAATTAGTGGTTACGAGGCTGCAATGTGTGATTATTTATGGAATAGTGGGTTAGAATCGTCGTAAGTGAAATATATTGCTTTTTGAGTGATATTTAAATATTTCATTACAAAATATTAATCTTAATGCTTCATACAGACATGTTGTAATCTCAATGAGAAATCAATTTGCTAATGTATCCGAAATTGCAACGTTGAATCCTATGGAATGGGTTGGCTGTGCTAAAGTAGAAAGTAAAAAATGTTAAAACCTAGTGAGTGGATATGTTCTGATTGTTTAATTGTTTTTCTTAGGTTATTGATTTGGTCGGCTGGACATTAGTTTACGACTCGAAAAAGTTACTCGGGAGGATTGGCTACCTTCCATACCACTTAGCGGTGAGTTAAATTAATAAATGTTGAAAAGTAGTGTTATAGACGGTAAATTAATAATGATTTTCACGTAAATACATCATTAGGTGTTGGATGCCAATGGCAATGTAATTATTGATGGTCTTGTGAGCTTTTGGGGTTCCATATTGGATGACTATATGAAATTCACCGAGTGTGACAAGGTAAGACACCATACGGATTGCAATGACTTATGGAGGCACATTCAAGTCAACAAAACTGGGTGCACAAGCCTTCGCATCCTTAGTCCATCTACTTTGAATCAAAGATCTGGGCAAATGTGTGTAATCTAAGTGCTTTAAACGTGAAGTTGATGGCGACATGGAAGTTCGACGGTCTTGAATTTTTTATACGAGCAATTTAGGGTTTCTATACCAAAATAAAAATTGACTTCAAATGTCTTATTTTTTTTCTTTGTACTTTGTCAAAATATAATTTTTGACATTCATCTGATAAGGACTAAATCTTTTCCTGAATCCGGTACAACATCTCCCGTTGAAGTTCTTATTGGAACAAACGAAAAGATTTGCGCGTATAAATCTCAACAGCATGGCTTTCAAGGTTAATCAGTTTTTTGATCTGGAAGGGCTTCGTCTGGGAACTTAAGTAATCCGATTTCAACTCGTTCATACGCATTCTATTAATTTCTTATTCAATTGCACGAACAACATCTAAATATGTCTTCTTCTGTTTCAGTGCAATCGCAAGTGAAGCATTCATAGACTTGCACCTTTGTGTTGAGCGAATATTGGAAAAGAAATGACCGGTTAGATATGCTTGTGCCCACAAGTACTGAGTATTTCCCTTCTCAATCACCCATGGATGTTTTTCGACATTGAATTCTGAAACAACTGAACGCCAGTGAATATCAAATTCATCATTTGTCCACTAGGAAGCCATGCATTTTTAGAATGCTGCTGTAAATTTTGGGTCACCAATGTTAGCTTTTGCATTGCGAGAAAGATGCCAAGAACATAATCTGTGCTTAGCATAAGGGGTAACAGATTTGATAGCCCTCTGCATTGCCCTATCCCCATCGGTGACTATTGAAATAGGCGATTTATTTATCATGGCTTCTAAAAAAGTCTTTAACACCCACTCGAAAGATTGGGATGCCTCGTCAGCGATTATGGAAGTAGCAAACACAATTGTGTTATGGTGATGAATGACACCGACAATAGGCATAATTGGTCGACCATACAAATTATCTTTGTACGTTGTGTCAAATACAATTACATCACTGATGCATATGTAATCTGATCTCGATGTAGAATCCGACTAAATAAGATTATGCAATGCCCCTAATTCGTCTACCGAGTATGTCATAAAAACCCAGGATCATCATGTTTTTTATAATCAAAGTAAGTAATAAACACATTCACATCCCCATTGACGATTTCCTTTACTTTACCTCTTTGAAGTGCATTGTAGAGGTCTTTATGTGTAAATCCAACATTATGATAGCCCCATACCTGCTGTGTTAAATAGTTCATTACTTGTGACGTACCAACACCGACCTCTTTCAATGCTATTCCCTCATCGATATCAACCTTACTTACATCTCTATTAGAACGCAGAAATGGTGTCATAGCAGGTGTGCACAATGCATGATTATGTTTCTGATAAGACTTACTTACAACCCACTGACCTTTTGTATTTGTTGTTGTAACTACGACTTTAGCCTTGCATCCCGTTATTGTGACTGGCGTATGATCACGTTGACGATCAACAGTATTGACTTTGGATACTCGAAACCCTTCTTTGGAATAAAAAAAATCTTGTATCTTCACATTCCCTTTCATATCAAGCTGTGTTGTTCCCTGACGTGCACTAAAACCATATTCTCATACGAATCCCTTGTAAAAGTATCAAGCTTGATCACGTGAAGAGAAGAGCTTACCAACCAATCTGTCAGATTCATCAACAATATGTACTTCATGGCATTCCTCGACTGGCTTAACATTGTCTGATGCAGTATGATCCATATGGCAAAAAATTTTGTTGTGCAAGTTCAATGGTCCCAACAGGAGTTGATGGAGATGTAAGTAGAGGTTCATAGAATAACATGTTTCAGTGGTGCTTTCAATAGGATGTGGTAATTGAAGGGTGGGTACAACATTAATTTCGTAGAACATATTTAGGTATGTACAATAACTACAAAATTCAACTTTTTTACTTTAAAGTATTAGGTAAATTTACAATGTAAGTGATAAAAATACATTTTTAATGACAAAATTAGTAAACATAATGTATCGATATTTTTTAAAATTGTATCGATCCCAACAACATCAAAACCAATAATTATAATGTAATAGGCAAATTTACAATGTAACCGGTAGAAATATACCGGTTTAATTAAAAAATAGGTCAACATAATGTGTTGATACATTTATTAAAAGTATCGATCACAAAAATATCGAAACCGATAATTACAATGTAATAGGTAAATTTACAATGTAACCAGTATAAATAAACCGGTTTTATGAGAAAATAGGTATACATAATGTATCAACACTTTTTAAATTTGTGTCGATACTTTTTGTCCAGAATGAATGACAAACTAGGTGCACACATAAAGTGTCGATACAGTTATTAAAAGTATCGATCCTAAAAACATCAAAACCGATAATTATAATATAATAGGTAAATTTATAATGTAATCGGTATAAATATACCGGTTTTATGAGAGAATATGTCAACATAATGTATCAACACTTTCTAACTTTGTGTCGATTCATTTTGTCCAGAATGAATGTCAAACTAGGTGCACGCATAAAGTGTCGATACATTTAAAATTGTATCGATCCCAAATACATCGAAACCGATAATTACAATGTAATAGGTAAATTTACAATGTAACCGGTAGAAATATACCGGTTTTATGAGAAAATAGGTCTACATAAAGTATCAACACAAATTTAAAAAGTGTCGATACTTTTTGTCCAGAATGAATGACAAACTAGGTGCACGCATAAAGTGTCGATACATTTAAAATTGTATCGATCTCAAAAACATCGAAACTGATAATTAAAATGTAATAGGTAAATTTACAATGTAACCGATAGAAATATACCAGTTTTATGAGAAAATAGGTCTACATAAAGTATCGACACAAATTTAAAAATTGTCGATATTTTTTGTCCAGAATGAATGACAAACTAGGTGCACGCATAAAGTGTCGATACATTTAAAATTGTATCGATCCAAAAAATATCGAAACCGATAATTATAATGTAATAGGTAAATTTATAATGGAGTCGGTATAAATATATCGATTTTATGAGAAAATAGGTTTACATAATGTATCGACACTTTTTAAATTTGTGTCGATACTTTTTTTAAATTACGCGTGTTTTTTCCATTCATTATTTATATGTTAAAAGAATCGATACAAACTCCAAATCGAAAAACCCTAAACCTAAAGACAAAAGAGAACTCTTCGACTCCGACTAATACCAGCGTTCATAATAGTTACGATCAGATATTCAGGTAAATTTATTGATATTTTGCCATAAGTTAGGGTTTGATTGATTTCCAGATTGGACTCTTTTTTTCCTTAATGTGTTTGTGTTCCAATGAAACAGCATCCACACCCAAATGGCTCCAAAATGTCAGAGGCACGGTGCTGTTCAAACTTTTTATCAACCAAGCTCTTCTCAACGACAACCTCCTTCTCAACCAATCGCTTCTTCTGAGCAAATCAGGTCATTTGAAACTCTGAACTTTAGAACCAATGAGGAGAAAGAAATATGACAGAGGAGTTTCAAAGTAAGGAAGATTCGTCCCGAACGTGTCATTGACATGGGTTCGATGATAAATATGATTATAGTTTTAAATCCATATTTACATCTTGGGGTTGGCTTGAATTCCTTGGTGTAGAACCAAAATATTACCCCAACTTAGTTAGAGACTTCTACAATAATTCTTCCTTCGAGCGTGAGCCTAATAAGACTACTATAATAGGAATTAATACCCAATTCACCTAGAAATAGCCCAATTCACCTAGATGTAGAGTCGATAGTGTTTCACAAAATACTCACTTGGTTTATTCGGCCTACCGGGGGAAAATATTTAACGATTCGAGACAACGATTATTGGTGGTTAGCAAAGTATAGATCCAAAACGGCTCCAAACATCGCTAAATTGATATTTAAGACAATTGTATATATGGTCACAAATGGAGTATCAATTTCAACTTCACTACCATATGGATGTGTCATCACCCATCTGTTGAATAAGGAAGAAGTTGATTTTTCGCTTGACTCCCTTGTTCGATTAACCCGCAAGATTGACATGTTCTTTATTACCAGAGCGGGATATGATTTTGTTGAAAATGTTGGTTGGAAGCATGTCAAGGATGTCATATTAGATCAAGAGAAGGAGGAAATGGACTCCATTAGCCATGAAGACGACCAACCAATGGGAGATACAATGATGGAAGAAGCTCCAGTTGAAGAGGATGTCATAATTAAGACAGTGATGAAATACATGGTCAATTTTCGGGAGCATATTGATTCCCTTGTGAGCGAAATGCAAGCCGATATTGCATCATTGCGCGATGAACTCTCCATCTTGCGTGACGAATTACGTCAATGACATCAAACGAGTTAGGTAATTAATTATTTAAGTTTCTAAACATTTACACGTTGTAAAATGTATTTTATTTTCTTTTAACAGATGTGGAAAACCAAGCGCTCAAGGAAGATGCCGATGATGATGATGATGATGATGATCCAAACAAGTATATCATGTCTACACGTCGCCTGCAAGAAAACTTGTAATTTTTTATGTCAATGGTGTCCTTGCCTACTTCTCAAGACATTCAAAATGTTTTAATTATATTCATTTGTATCCATTATTTTTACATATAAGCGTACAAATTTAATCTCATTTTCTTCATGTTGTAGATTTTATCCTCATAACATGAGTATATGAATTTATGCATTTTTGTGTACAAAATTTTGTTATTGCCATTTGGTCTTCCAAGATGAGGTTAGAACTGTTGAGCAATTGAATTACTATAGCCAAAATTGTTAATATACAATTAGATATTAACATTCAAACTTGATTACAATCTCAGGCATAACATCGACCGTGTACTTCAAAAACTACCTTTGTTGTCTGACCAGTTTCTATTCGTTTGGGTAATATAAATGTCATTACACTTTGCTGACATTTATTTGTCTATGATTCCTACATATTTATGTTTGACTGTTTGTGAACAGAATCAAGGAAAGTGCAAAAAAGAAGATAATGTTACCTACTGTAAAGATCTCAATGATGTTTGGAACACGTATCCTGATTTTAACGCCCTAAATACACTGTTAGTTCATGATTCAGCACGAAAAATGATTTATAATCCGGTAAGTTACATTTATGCCATATGTTTTTTTCCAGTTAAACAGGTGTTCATACATTGATTGATTAACAATTTATGTTTTTATATAGAAATACAATTACATATGTCCACATCCCTCCAACGCTTCCTATTCAGATGACAATACTCTAGGTATGACACAAATTTATTCCTGCTTATGCGAATTTAGTTTCTTGTTAGTAAAATTGCACCTGATTAGTTTGATAATTGAAATTATTTATATATGTTCTCAGAAAAAGGCAGTAACATACGAGAGTATTTGGAAAATTTGTTGAATGCGCCTAATGTCCCGGACTTCGTTAGAAATAACCCTTTTTCATCGAATTAATTTCGTTGTGGGTACATTATTTGAATATTGTTATGTATAAATTTATTGTGTATGTATGTTTATTGTGTGTATATTTTCATTCGATTAAAAAAATACTAAAACATATAACACAATAACTGTGTATTTTAATATTCCATAGTATAACATGTGACATATACAGTAAATATTCCATTCGGATGGGTTGTGCATAACAAAACAATCTATCTATCTCTTCCATATGAGTACTCTATTCCCATATCACAAGTGTAACAAACCCATCAACTCACAACTCAGCTTTGAACTGAATCAATATTGTCTTTAACCCGCTTGATGGTTCATAACGCATGTTACTTGAACAACATGAATCAATTATATAATTTCCATGTTCAATTTAACACTGCATTTCATGTTCATTTCATATTTAATTGGAGTTTAAATTTAAATTTCAATTTGAGTTTGAATTTCAATATAAATTTCGGCTCCACCATAAATATTAGCCCGAGCCTTTGTTCTATCCAAACAACAACTTACTCAATGGAAGCATCGGGAGGTAACATCAAATTCCATTTCTAAGGTAACAACTTGCTTTTTTCAAAACTTATTAACTTAGACAATATGCATGTTATCATTGATTATTCTTAATTTCTATTATTTTTTCCAACTTTAAACGCGAGGGAAATCCCGACCATCGTAATTTTTGGTTAACAAGCATTTTATGGGAAATCCTGAGATCTTTGTTGCATAATTTTAGCAGAGTAGTTGGGTTTAGGGTTTAAAATGCTTGCAGTTGTGTGCAAATCCTATAATTGAGCAGGTTCTCTTCAGCATGATAGGCATAATTACAAAGTTGATTCTAGGTTCGGTCTTCATTCAGAGCAAAAGCTATCGCTCTTGGTAAATCTTTA